ATAATAAATGATCTATTTAAAGTACTGATAATGATTCAAAAGTCAGTAATAATTTAAAATAAGTCTATCCATCCGTTAAAAAAATTAATGTTGGAGTGAAAGTTTCAGAATTCTTTCTGTAGCCTAAGTAGACTTGAGTTATCAATAAGAAAGTATTTGAAAAGGAGGGATGGAGAGATGGCTCAGGGCGAAGGCACCTGTCAGTAAGCCTGATGACTTGAGTGTGATTCCTGGGAACAAAATGGTAGAGGAACTGATTCCTGCAGGTTGTCCTTTGACCTCCACGTGCATACTGTGGAATGTGTGAACCCCACACACCAAATAATGTGTAATAAAAATGTAAAGGAAAAAAGAAAGAGTGTTGTTAGTCATAAGTAAAGGCCTAGGTGAGCTAGACGTGCGTGTTGGTGAATGAGTGCAAATGGGCTGGCCAGGACAGACCCTGTCTTGGGCAGCCCTGTGCTTATGTATCTGGATTTATGTCACAGGAATACAGGCAGATGTGGACTAGTCTCTGCTGTGTTGCTTCACTTATCTCGTTTTTCTGAAGGTCCTTTCCAACCCTTTCATGTCCTCCCCTATCTAGAGGGAGGGGCACCTGTAGTACACAGAGGCAGGACAGAAGAGCCCCCCTGTGAGGCATGCAACGTGCTAGGTGGCTTTTCTCTGGGGTCACGGCGCCACTGTTGGGAGTGTTACACCAGAGAACGGCTGCTTCTGCCTGTCCTGTGGAGAAGAGAGCTTGGCAGTGGTGCAATGTGAGGGGCACATTTTCTCTCAGGCCTTCTAGATTGATCTAGAAAGAAAAAAAGCACAAATAATAAAAGTGTAAACTTGGAAACACTGTGAAACAGATAATTAACTATTTTGCTTTTCCTTTTTTGTGATGCTGGGGCTCAAACCCAGGGCCTTGCACATGCTGGGCAAAATTTCTACCTACTCCAGCCCCAGGCTTTTCATTCTTGCATGGGCAAGGAGCACATAGCTCTTGGCGAAGTTTGAACACTTAACCCCAGTTTATGACAGCAGGAGAGGTCAAGTGTTGAGGGGTGAATTATAAATCATTTTTAAGACATATTTAAGGCATGAATAATGCCTTAAATATGTTTACACAATGCCCGGGCCATTAAACACACATTTCTATGTATTGTAAGGACAGACCCTGTCTTGGGCAGCCCTGTGCTTATGTATCTGGATTTATGTCACAGGAATACAGGCAGATGTGGACTAGTCTCTGCTGTGTTGCTTCACTTATCTCGTTTTTCTGAAGGTCCTTTCCAACCCTTTCATGTCCTCCCCTATCTAGAGGGAGGGGCACCTGTAGTACACAGAGGCAGGACAGAAGAGCCCCCCTGTGAGGCATGCAACGTGCTAGGTGGCTTTTCTCTGGGGTCACGGCGCCACTGTTGGGAGTGTTACACCAGAGAACGGCTGCTTCTGCCTGTCCTGTGGAGAAGAGAGCTTGGCAGTGGTGCAATGTGAGGGGCACATTTTCTCTCAGGCCTTCTAGATTGATCTAGAAAGAAAAAAAGCACAAATAATAAAAGTGTAAACTTGAAAACACTGTGAAACAGATAATTAACTATTTTGCTTTTCCTTTTTTGTGATGCTGGGGCTCAAACCCAGGGCCTTGCACATGCTGGGCAAAATTTGACCTCTCAACTACCTCCCAGTACTTGTATTTTTAAGATGGGGTCTCACTGTGCAACTCAGTCTAGCCCTGAACTTGCTAGATAGCCTTGCTAGATAGTGGGTGCTGGGAACCAAATCAGGGGCCTCTGTGAGAGCAGTCAGTGCTCTTAACTGCTGAACCGTCTCTCTAGTCCCCTCAAAGTTTCTTAAGTAGACTGTATATATAATTAGATCCTATCTTAATGACTTACTACCCACAGCAGGGCTGTCTGACCAGTCTCTAAACTTTGTGCAGCAAACCTCCTGCATCTAATGACCTGACTCTGACTACGCAGCATATTTGGTGTGATCTGAGGACTCAGATAACTCTGATTAGTAGAACTGTCTTTAAAGTGAGAGTCATCATAACTTCAATGTGTCTCCTAGAAAGTAAAGCAGTTGAGCTTTAATGAATGAGTTTCACAGCTGTTCTTTAGCTCCTGGATGGCTCTGGGTCAAGATTCTCAAAGATCCTGCTGAATTTGAGACATCCCACCTGGAACTGTGTGAATTGCTCTTATATTTTGTATTTAATAGCTATGCAGTATATATTCGAAGCAAATTATTAGCAAAATTAAGCCAAGTGTGGTGCTCACACCTATAATCGCAACACTTGGGGGGTGGTCAAGGCAGGATTGTTACAAGTTTGAGGCCAGCCTGGGCTACATAGTGAAACTTTCTCAAAACCCCACACAAACAAAATTAAATATTATATGCATTTTCATAAATGTAAAAGTTTGACATTATGCCTTCACTTGTATCTAAAACTTTCTATGGATTTTGTTATTGTTCCCACATCACCAGGACCATATTCACATATCTTTAGTATGTCCTTATAAAGTCAAATAACATAATTTAATTTCTAATACATTTATGAAAGATGTTTATATAATAATGCAGGTGCAAGCTAAAACCCAATTAGAAAACTTTATACAGGGTCTTAAAAACCTTCAGTCAGGTGAGGCACATCTCTATAATCCTAGCACTCAGGAGGAAGAGGTAGGAGGATTGTGAGTTCAAGGCCAGCCTGGGCTACCTGGCAAGACTATCCATCAAAATGAAACATCTTCAAAAAAGGTTTTCTTTTTTAATCCAGTGCTGGGCTCAGTGGCCTATGGCTGTAATCCCAGCACTCAGGAGCCTGAGGTAGGAGGATCAGGGCTTCAAAGCCATCCTTAGTATTTCAAGTTTGAGTCCAGCCTGGGTTCATGAGTCCCTATCTCTAGACAGCAGAACAAAACTATATCTAGGCTTAATGTCCCGCCTGGCCATTGAAGTCTGAAGGATCCCATCTTTGTGCCAGTTTTACTGCTCTGTTCTGCTGGTCAGACCTGAGGTGGTGGTTTCCCTTCATGTGCAACCTCCCCTGATGATAGAGACAAAGTATGATTGTGACACAGCTCTGGGAGGGTCCTTTGAGCATATATTCTGAAGGCCACTGTAAATCTACTTTCTCTCTTGCCTTCATCCAGGAAAATGTGTCTTTTCTAAATGACACTATTACTTGGCTTCGTAGTTTTAACACTTTTTCAACTCATTGATTTTTCATATGTTAATATTGTTAAAATGGACCGAGGGATGCCGATCCCTTTAGAATGACTGGAATGCAGATGTGCATGGCATGATTATCTACTGATATCAATTGGCATGCTTATATGTCAGTACCCAAATGGGAAATGTTTGGAGGTGGCAACCTGAGGTACCTTTACGTGTTAAGCACCCATAAAAGAACTGTAATCAGTCTTGAACTGATCTCCCTCCTCCTTTAGAGAAGAGAAACAGCTCCAAGGTGTGTTCTCCATCTTCTTCAAGCTGGTCCTCATAACCTGGAATCTGAAGCCTACAGGGCCTGTTTGTACTGGTCCATGGCAACCTGTACTCAGGTTTTCTGGCCCGTTTTCCAAACTGAAGTCTATGTTTAACTTCATTACATGATTCTGAAGACATCATTGAGCAGAGAGATGGGAGATACTTCCTGAAGCAACAGCAATCAATGATAGTGGTAATTGGAAGGCTCCGAAGAAGTTACTTGGCTCCTAATGAGTGATTGAAAGTGAAAATCTTAACACAACCCATAACTACACCCATCCTCCATGTGGTTGGTGTCTGTCATCTGCAAATGGGGGTTGCCATGTGATTTGCCTTATGAGGCTGCTAGAGATGACACGTAATGACTGTCTACCTCAGTATGCTTGCAACTATGCAGTACTTCTGTTATCCTGCAGTACTTTGGTGCAGAGAAAAGACACTATTTTTCCTTCATTTGGCAAATACTTGGTTCTTTTTTCTCCAGGAAACTCTCAGCTAAAGTGTTAGGTGAATGACTTACTGGGGGTGTGGGGTGTGGACAGAAACCACCTAGGGAATTCTGGCAGGAAGTAAGACATACTTCAAGGATGTTTCCTACAGGTCAATATGCGTTTTGTGGAAACTAAGCTGCTTCTAGACTTTTCGACCTCCAGACCTACTGGTAGTCTTGAAATCTCTGGGATGGGTGGGTCCTTTGAGCATTCCCACCGCCAGGCAGTAGAAGGAGCACTGCACCAGAAGTCACAGCACTGGGTCCCAGCCCTGCTTCAGTGATGGGCCACTGCGAGATGCTTGGCTGCATCTGTAAACAGAGCCCACCATTAGATTGAGAATCAACTCCCTCCCCACAGAGGGCGGTGGGCAAGTGAAAGGCGACAGACCTGTGGCCTGGAGGGTGTGCATCAGACAGCCCCACTTCCATATTCTCCCTTTCTAGGCTGCTTGTCTCCGGACCCTCCCGGTGGCCGCCAGAGGTCCTTGTAGACGTCCTTGACCACAGTGGGATTTCCGGGTTATGTAAATCAAAGCTTACTAATGAAGACATTATCGCCAACCTGGGCAGCAAAGGCAGTGGCTGCAGAATTAATTCTGCCAGGTGCAATTTACAAAGTTTTTGAATGCAAACCGACCCCTGGGGTTTGGTGAGGTCTGTGCTGTGTAAATGACAAGGGAATGGATGGCGAAATGGGGCAACTTGTAGGATGGACACGGGCCACCTCTCCCCTGGGACACTAACGACGGGTCGTGCTCTAGTCTCTTCTAACTTCTCATTTCGGTGACCAGTCACGCGTGAAGACTCCCGGGTGCAGGAGACCCGGGTCTCCTAGCGCGGTCCCTGCAGAGGGACAGGCTGGGGACGCACTGCGGAGGGGCCCTGGTGGAACCGACTGGCCGCAGCCAGGCGCGACCCCAGCCCTGAAGCCCACGCCGCCGCCACCGCGTGCGTTCGCGGCTCGGCGGGCTCCCACGCCGCGGCGGGCGCTGGGTTTGGCCGCGGTTCAGCCCGTGCTCCCCGCCGCTCCCCGCCCCACCCCGGGTCCCTGGAGGCTCCGTGCTGCCGGAGCGGGAGGTGGAGCCGAGCCCGCGGCCGCCTAGCAGGAGGGAAAGTTCGGCGGCGGGAGCAGCGGGAGCCGGGCTCGGCTGTCCGGAGGGCGGCTTCGGGGTGAGTCGGGGTTCCTTCCCGGGACCACAGTGGTCGAGGGTGGTTAGCCGGGCGCGGGGGCGTCGCTGCCACTCGGCGGTCCGCGCAGCCCGGCGCCGCTGCCCGCGACCTCAGGATGGCCCGTCGTCAGCCGGAGAGGACAGGTCGAGGCCGGTCTTCTACGGTCGCTGCCCGCCAGGGGCCGAGGGTTCCCACGTTCGCTGCCTGCCGGAGCTGGGCGCGCGGAGGGCGAGGCGCCTCCAGGTGGACGAGCGAGCGGGCAGCGGCCCTCAGCGAGGAGGGTCCCCCGGATCATCCAGGCTTCTCCAGCGCTCATCTAGCCGCTGACCTGTCTGGTTACTTTCCAGAAACCCACTCCAAAGTAGCCTTGACACGTGTCTCCGCGACTACTTTGCTGTAACTGGGTTATTTTTGCTGTGATGGAGAGGGTGGCCAGGGGGCAGCGCGCTCTCCTGCGTAGGATCAAGGCGACGGGGAATCGTGGGTCTCCATGGTCACTCTGGAGGCGACCCCGGAGCAAGTGTGGGGACGGTGGGTAGAGAGAAGCTCGCCCAGGGTATGGTCTTGGGGTGCGGGTCGGAGGTTCCGAGGGCGGGAGGAAAAGGAAAGCTGCTCAGGGCGAAGGCAAAGTTGTTTGTTTCCGCCGCACTTCCTGCACCTGTACCCCTGTCGTCAGTAATATTTGAAGTTGCAGAGGAAAAGACGCTAACAGCACTGTAAGTGCCAAACAAGAAGCCTCTGCAGTGGTGCACGCCTTTAATAAAAAAAAAGACTAATGAGTGACAGAGTGGTTGTATTGTGATTGCAACGTCTTAGCAGTTTTTACTGAAACGTCATCAGATCCCTCTACAGCATAAAGATAAGTGCAGTTTCATAGTTATTATAAATTTAAGTATCTAGTTAACACTAGTAATTCTACAGGGTTTCGTGGATTGGGTTAACACTGTTCACCAAAGAAAGCCTCAGTTATTGTGAACATGGAATAAACTCTGTGTGGCGCTGCCATGTGGGTAATTAGGAGAAAAGTCTTTCAAACTTGGAAATGGAAGGTTAAGTCAGAGGCTAACTTATGCCCTTGACATAAAACATGGCTTGAACACACCAAAGAGTGATTACTTTGATAAGGGATCAGGCACTGAACTCCCAGAAGATGCTAATTACTGGAAAACAAGAGAACCCTACCCACTGTAGGAACCCAATAAATATTTGATCATTTCTCTGCATTGAACTACCAGTCAGGCATGTACAACCTGCAGCCTGGGGAGTGGCATGGGGCCTGCATGTGAGGGAGAATACTGAGGATTGGGTGCTTAAAAGTCAATTTTTGACTGGGTGTGGTGGTGTTCCTCTTTAATCCCAGCACCCAGGAGGAGGAGGCAGGCAGATCTCTGAGTTGGAGGCCAGCCCATCTATATAGAAGGTTCCAGCCCAGCCTGAATACATAATGAGACCCTGTCTCAAAAAAAATAATGTATCTATTTTTTTTCAACTCTTCTGGATTCTTGAATTTGAACTTTGTAGTGGACAATCTGGTGCCTCAATGACAGAAGGTAGGATGTGCTGGCTGCTGCTTCAGATCATGAATAGAAATACTTTGATTCTGTTCATCTTTTTGTTTCAAATCTCATGTGTCTAGTTGTGAAACATAGTAATGGACTTCAAAGAAAAATACCCATGTGTGGATTCACCCACTTCATTTCACCAAGTGAGATTGTGCTCTGCATGGCTGGCCTCCAAGTGGTTTGTCCCACTATTTAACTGCATGATCCTGGGCCAGTCACTTGCACTTCCCAGTACCAGGGCTCTAATTTGTAAAATGGCAGCAACACACTTCACTTTATGTAGATGTTTGGCAGAATGAAATAACATTCTTCTCCTGATACCACGAGCACAGTACATACTTTGTGAATGTTATCTCTTGTTTTTAAAAAATACCTTTAAATTCTCAGTTCTGCGTGTTCTGTGGGGGTTTTTTAAATCTTTTTTTTTTGAGATAGGGTCTCCCTGTAGCCCCAACAGGCCTAGAACTCATTTTGTAGACCAGGCTGGCCTCAATCTCACAGAGATCTGCCTGCCTCTGCCTCCTGAATGCTGGGATTAAAGGCATGTCCCACTACACCCAGCCCTCAACCCTCAGAATTTATAATTGTTTCTTTTATGTGGTATTCCACCTATCCACCTAGGCATCCACCAACCCATCCATCCATCCATCCATCCATCCATCCATCCATCCACCCATCCATCCACCCATCCATCCACCAACCCATCCATCCATCCATCCATCCATCCATCCATCCATCGTTCATGGAAGACTCTCATTTCCCTGAATGGGTGTTTGAACCTAGAGGTTGGCACTTTGGGGGAAGGTGGTAGACAATAGTTTAGGGGTTTCCTTTTGTTGAGAATATCATCATGAAGGGGACTTGGCAGCCTTCATGTTGTCTCAGTTTTGTGCTGAATGAGTCAGCACTACACCTCAAAGAAGCACCAATAATCTCTGCATGGCTGTACCATCCAACCCTGAGCTTGGCAAGCAGTTTCAACTTAGCATGTACCACATGTTTGTGATTTGAAATTCATAATGTAATGAAGTTATTCTTCAGGTCACATCCTTCTTTCTATGCTCCTGATGAAAGGCCCTTGTGATTGTAAATTATAGCCCTACTATACATTAGGGGCAACAGAGGTACTAAAGAGGCCCAGCTCAGGTAGACTTTATTACCTATTGATTTTGGCCTTGTGATGAACTGTTCTTAGAAAACGTGTGAAGCCAAGGTAGTGCAGTGGCTCTGCCACTAGGGGCCTCCTCTGCACGCTGCATCACCCTGCGCTGTCATTTGTTCCCATCCTTCAGTCCGCTAATGTAGCAGAGAAATTAAACTTCCTGGGTCCTGGGCATGGAACACTATCAAAAAAGGGCAACCATGTGTGACAAGAATTACCAAAGCCTCAGAAATAAGTGAAAGCCCTCTTTGCTGTATTCAGTAGGGTTTTTGAATAACATTAGACACTTAAGAATTGGGCCTTTTACTTTATATATCACAATATTCAAATACAGAGTTTTTTAAACTTAAAAACAATATATGATTTAGTTGTAGTATTTCACTGTCTGTCTGTCTCTATTTTTCTCTCCCTCTCTGCCTTTGATGGAGCATTTTTTTTTCTCTTAATCCTTTAATATGTTTTAAATAGCTTTTTCCCCTAAATGGGCACTAGCATCACTAAAGCAGTATAAATTGTTTTTCACAGGACTTTATCTAGCTTCTCTTCCTCCTCCTCTTGGGGCTGCATTAAATTTCACCTTTAAAAATGTTTCATTGGAGGCTGGAGAAATGGTTCAGTGGTGAAGAACAATTGCTGCTCTTGCGGAAGACCCAAGTTCGGTTCCTAGCGTACACCTTGGGTGGCTCACAGCCATTTGTAATTCCAGTTCAAAGGGATTTGACACTTTCTTCTGGCCTCCATGACTGCAAGCTTATGGTACACATACACACATTCAGGCACATGCAATAAGTAAATACATCTAAAAGGTATTCTATCACATTCTACTATGCATTTAGGGACATATCTTCCAATGAGGGTTTTCTTTGTGTCCTTGCTTTTCTTTTGTGTTTCAAGGCTGGGTCTCGCTGTGTAGCCCTGCTGGCCTCAAACTTCCAATGATTCTACTGCCTTCGGCTTCCAAGTACTGGGATTAGAGACAGGAGCCTTACTGTGCCTAAGTATGAGTTTTGAAAAACCCTCTTCTGAATTCTCTTTTAAGTGAAGTTAGTCAGGCTTGAGAATATTTGTTGAACAATTTGAAAGTGTTTTTATTTGCTGGATAAAATTTGCTATTTGGTAGGAGGCATACTGGCAATATATGTAAGCAGACATCATTATCCCAAATATTGCCATATTGTTTGCAAATGAATAAGAGAGCACTATATTTTCAGGTTTCTAGTGAAACTGAATTGCTGGGACAAACCCAGTATCTTTGCTCCATCCAGGAAAGTCAGCTAAGGTAAGAGAAGGTACATCAGGCCCCTAAATGTTCCCGTGGGGTTTCTTTTCTGTTTAGCAGAACATTCTAAACACAGAACAATTTCAGACTCCCAGTTCTGATTTTCACATGGTGTGGTCTGGAAACAAAGCTATCTGATCGCTGTTGTTTTTCTATGAAGGTCTAAGCAAGTTCTTGGCTAGGGAACAAAATAAGAGGAACTACTTTTTTTGTGAAGGCTATAGATAATTTTTATGACCATTTTCCTCTGGTTGAACTAAATTCTTTGGATTGCTTTTAGGATTCTGGCATATCAGAGAATTATACAGATCCTGTTTGCCAAAAGGAATGCTTTTCTAGAACCGGAAGAGGCTTCAGCCACCAGCTAGGGCAGGACTCGGCACCTTCCGACCTCCCCTTCCTCTTCCCAGACTGAAGCTGAGCTGAACCTCAACCAGAAGGATAGACTTAAAGCTTGATGCAGAACAGGGTGATTTACTTTGGATGAGAGCCCTAAATTGACAGATTATGGATGCCTGAGGTGCAGGATGTGAAAGCATCTTTCTACCTGAAAGTCCCTTTTAGGAACCTACTTTTGGGAAGTACCACCTGCATGAAAATGAAAATGGCAGCTGTGGGTAGGATTTTCAGTAGTGTTTTGAATCTCGTAATACAAGCTGCACAGGTGATTTCTGTTGTCTTTAAGCAATGCAAAACAAACATTTGGTTATCCTAGGGTCACATCTGCTTCTTTGTTTTATTTCCACACACAAAGGACATTTGAGTTGATTCTGGAGAAAAGAGAAGCAGGAGGGTGTGAACTGTCTGTTTATACTGACCCCAGGGGCAGCCTTATTTTCGCATTCCCAAGGCACATGACACCAGCACACAGCTTAATTTAGCAGTGTTTATGGGTGACTTTGTGAGCACCATCCATTCTGTTTCTGAAATTTTGCTCCTGAGTACCCTCAAAAGTCACTTTCCCCTGAGGCTGGATATGGTGGTGCAGATACCTTTA